ACCACGTACCTTTTCCTAGAGAGCAGTCTGGAGAGCCAAAGTCCATGAGGGCTGATATCTCAGCAGGGTAACACAGGTCTGTCAACACCGTCTTCTGTCTGTGGTGCAGCGGAGGAGCTGAAGGAGGACAGACACAAGGTCAGTGGGGTTCAAACACACACTCCCAGATCAGGGCGTCTAATGTGAACCTGGTCACAGTTTGACGATGAGTTGAGTTCCATCCTAACACAACAACGACTTGACCTTCTGACTGTGGTCTCTGTTAGATTATATATCAGAGAGATTATAATTCTGACCTTAGGAACCACCGTGAGGTCAGTGACCTCACGGTGGTTCGGTCCAAATCATAAACAGAGCAGCTGAAAACCACGACTCACGCCGGGACCACAACTGTTCCAGACGTTTTCTGGGAAAAAATCATTTGTTACAAACCTAAAATCTGAAGCCCCCCCCCTCCTACCATTTGTGTTGCTCAGTAATGACCCCCCCTCCTTCCCCCCCCACTGTCATCAGCATATTGTTCAGGTTTCTATTATCTGAACCTCATGCATTTTAATTGACACGACATAACGAGAAGAATATGGAACTCTTCGAAAATTGAATTCCACATCAGTGCTGACGATGAATACATTAGCACAACTAAATGATGTTGACCCCTCAGCTGTCTGACCTTTGACCCCCGCCTGGCCGCAGGAGAAAATTGGAGTCAGTTTGGTTGAGATCACGAGGAGCGTTGATCCGCCGTTATTAACAGAAAGAGACGCATTCACATCCCAGTCTACACGGTCTACAGACTCTGTGGGGGGGGGGGGCACAGTCACTGCACACATGCTGTGGTTGTTTACAGACCCAGGAAGGAGATTTTAATTAGAATTTTTATGATGGCACTTGTCAGAAATATGGAAGATGAGTTGAAAACAAAACAGATTCAACATTTCTGTCTATATTTACACACATATATACATGAGTCTATACACCTGAGTACACACACACACACACATATATATATATATATATATATGTGTGTGTGTGTACCCTCCCACTCTGTGACATCTGTCAAGAAGAAAGTGCAGCTGTGACGTCGCCGTTAAACAAAACGTTCCGTTAATCTGTGTTGATAATCCCAGTCTCACAGTGAATTCCTAATCCTGACGGTGCAGCAGTGGAACCAGGACAGTCAGGGTTGGGTTCAAGGCCCCTGTGATCCATGAGAACACAACACATCCATCACAGGGACAGAACCAGAGCCACATCCACGGCCCCGTCCTGTGTACTGTGTTTTCAAACCAAATCTTTTCTGGAGGCCACGATCCTGGAGCCAGGCTTTGAGAACCAAACCACAGAACTGCTGCTGTTCTTCCTGTGAGGGCGGAGCACAAACCAACTCCTCCACCTTGTGGCCCAGAGCCACATTTCCACTTAAAAAATTAAAGATGTATAAAGTCTTTAATGTGGCCGTTGTTTCAATTAATTTTGGAAAAAAAGGAAAACAGTGAAACTATGCTGTAACTTTATTTGACCCAGTAAATTCTTTCAACAGCCAGTAGAGATCCGGTCGATAGACTACACCCGCGGGGCCAAGGACGTGACCGCCATGTTGTTTTATGACCCATGTGATCAACGGTTGGACAGGAAGTGACAGACTCTGTTCCTCCTGTGCTCGACTCTAAACTGACCCTAAAGTAAATCAACCCCCCCAACCCCCCCCCCCTTATTGGAGACCAGCACAAAGTCCACCTGAAGATAAAGAGGTCCTCAGGACAACAGTGTGTTTTTAGTGTCCCCACTAGTATAGAAAGACAAACACACACACGTTCCTCCCGCTCTTCTTATTCCAAGGCCGTTCCTGTAGAACCGATGACAGGAACCGTTCTGGCTGAGGGCTTTTAAAGTGCAGGGACATTAGGAAAAGGTGTTTTGCTGACATCGGTACTCTTCACTGTTTTTCACCGATGCCAACAGTTCCACACCCTCATCATCTCTGTTTCCTGTGCAGGATCCAGGACGGAGCTCTCACTTCCTGTCAACATCAGGACACGGACGGAGGACGAAGTTCAGCTACACAGTCACACAGCACTACACTCAGTACTTTGATGGACGACCAACTCCAGTACTAGTACTAGAACATCTACTGCAGTTCTACAGGAACCTGAACCAACTCTGAAGGACTAACGTCTCAGTGTGGGCCGGGTCTGGACCAGAGAAACCCCAGTGAAGCAGAGCATTGTGGGAATATTATAACCTCAGAACAGAACTCAGCCACAGGAAGTGATAATGAAGCGTCCAGTGAGGGTTTGGAACTCTGCTCACAGCTGGTTTGGTCGGACTTTTCTTTGTTATTCAGTGGAAATTCTTGGTTCTACGTTAAAAAAAAAAAGAACTTCAGAAACTATCTAAACATCACAGGTCGGCGAGTCACGAGTCGGTCTGAGCGCTTCATCACCCCGGCCTCCCCCTGTGGTGTGACCCCCCCCCCCCCCCCCTCCACCAGTTCCACTCACCTCAAACCTCCAGCTCCCTCAGCTCATCTCCTCCTGTCTCTCTGAGGAACCCTGTCCTCCTGGTTATTAAGACTCCTCTCTGCTGTGACTCCTGGAGTCTCTCTCTGCCCCCCCCCGCCGCCCCCCCGCTCTGTTCTGGATCACTGATCACGGCTCGTTCAGTCACAGAGGCCTTCTTCCTGAGAGTGTCAGTGCAGTAATAAGTGCTGAGGGACTCTGGGACGTGTACAATAGGGCGCCCCCCGCAGGGCAGGAGTCAGGAAGTTAGAAAGTCTTTAACATGTTGAAAACCAGGCTGCTTTTTTTGAAGCTCTGGTTTCATCTCAGAGATTCATTCAGACGTCGGGTTAGTGACCGTCGTCCGTTCGTCCTCAGGCGTCCGTGACAGTGAAGCCACCGACACACAGACTCTCACAGACTTTTTTTTTTCTTTTCCTCAAAACTGTGAAAAACAAGAAGCTTTTTTCACAAGTTGCCAAGAGTGAAACTCTGAAGGGAGAACGACGACAGAGCTGGTATTCATGCCCGGACACAAAGAGGAATCAGAAATAAAACACAACTTCAGTGCAGCGAGGAGAGAATCAATCAAACGCCACGGTTTATAAAGTCCTCAAAGTCCAAAGTCAGATCAGAACTGGGACGCAGCCAAAACCCAGTCCAGGTCTTTGTCTGGTCAACACGCTTCACTTCCGTCAGATTAATCTCACGTCCGACGTCTGGGCTCAGAGGGAACGTCAGCAAATTCACATCTTTTCAGCGTTTGTGCTGAAAAATAAAAACATGGAGAAGAAAATTCACAGAAAAGTCCCGACTGGGACGTCACCGAAGGTCCTTAACACAAAGGTCAATAAACCGTGACCTCAGGATCAAAAACAGACCAGGATAAAAACCCTGTTGGAGAATACTTCATACTACTGTCAACGTGAAGTACTCTGTCACCACAGTACAGAGAGAAACTACTGACTGCCTGTAGCTCAGCAGTAGTCTGAAGTACACAGTACAGTACCTGGAGAATACTCACTGGTACACAGTACCTGGAGAATACTCACTGGTACACAGTACCTGGAGAATACTCACTGGTACACAGTACCTGGAGAATCACAGTACCTGGAGACTGGTACACAGTACCTGGAGAATACTCACTGGTACACAGTATCTGGAGAGTTACTTTACTCCAAACACAACAGAATTACTGCGTCTCTCCTCTGTCTTTATGACTTTTCAAATGTTTCAACTGAGGAACGTTGACGTCCAATAAAACTCATCGTTACTTCCTCCGACTGTAAACACCTGAATCTTAAAACGATTGTTTTATCACCACCGTAAAGTTCTACCACAGTACAACATTAGTTGATGTGAGAAAAGTCACTGCTCATAAAAAGACCAAACGCCACAACACCCCAGCCCACTAGGTGGCAGTAATAAATCTAAAGCTGTCAGTCAATGACAGCGTCAGCCAATGACAACAGGCTAAAACAGGAAAGTACTTAATACTGCATTTCACTCCACAACTGCAGTAAAACAAACGCTGCTGCAGCCGCGGCTCCTTCACTGAGTCACAGTTCCATCAGTGCAACAGAACCATGAAGCCGTGACCCCCCCGTACCCCCCACCCCTGATTAATTTGCAGTGTATCATTGTGATTTGCATGTGTACACACACTCACACACACACACACACAGAGTGTGTCCTTTGAAGTTTTCCGCGGCCTGTGATATCAGGTGTCCACATTCTGCTGATCCTGCAGTCAAACTCTAGCGCCCCCGTGTGCGTATCTCATTACGCGGCTGCAGAAACTGGGGCTCCATAAATCAAAAGTTACTGCAGTGCAGCTGTGTGACACTCAGAGGTCAGAGGTCAACCTCCATATATATATATATATATGTGTGGCCCTGGCCTAGAAAGTACTAGTGTACTGCAGTACTGTGTCTTATCAGAACACCATACTGTTCCTGTGGTACATGTGGGTCAGTACTGGGTCAGTAGTTTGTCAGTACTGGGTCAGTAGTTTGTCAGTACTGGGTCGGTCCTTCCTGTGTCTGATCAGAACTGACCCAGGATCAGCTCCCAGACTGAGGGATGAGACACAGATTACTGCGAGGATCAGTCTTCAAACTTCACTCCCATGATGTTCATCCATGTTATTAAATATAGTGAAGCTTAGCCTATAACCCCCCCCCC